TTTTCCCCATTGCTTTTCAGTGTTGTGGTGAATTCAAGTTATCCTGTGGAAAGCATGGACAGAGATGTTAGTTTCATATTCCTTTAGCAGAAAGTAAACATACCTTCAAAGCGCATTTCCGTAAGAAAATTATTTTGGTCTTGAAAGGTTTCTGACTACGATACTCTTGGGGAGCATCTAGTTTTCTTCTAAATACTATCGCATATGTTTATTTATTAGTGACCCTCTGGGAGTATACAAGACAGCCCACATCCGCTTTAACACTTCACGACATACATGCAATGCCTCTTTTTCTCACGTTGAAAATATACAGATTTTAGACAAAAACTTCAAAAGAAACTGCAACAGCAGTCGCGCCCGTACCCACGGACAGACATTAATGAGCAACGCGTTAACCACCGTGGTTCATCGCTATTTGAATTTCATTGCGTAAAGACGCCACCCAGACCCAGTTCATGCGATAATTAATCTCATCGCACTACCATCAAAGGCAAGGGATACTGGAATGGGCATTTAGTGCTTATTAACAGTCATCAGCCAGCCGTAGCCTACCTAAAAGAGTAGAACACCTGTGGTTCGATCCCGCGACCTGTTGGTTAAACGTCCAACGCCCTTAAATCATGAGCCACAGCCTCGGTGTCCTGTCGGTTGCGATCGGGAATATAAAATGGTGTAGGGGCGCTCTCCGAGCATTTTACGGAACTTACACGTCCGCTGTCCCGTCAAGGCCCTAAGACACACTGGAACGATTGGAGTCTATAAAAAACGATCGACGAACGCCCGATATTTATCAACCACTTCACTAACAAACAGCTAGTCATGTGTCTTAACCTCTGCTCGAATGTTAGATGTTCATGAACACCACTAACAAAGCTACTAACCTGCTGCCTAACGGATTCCTTATTCTGATCAAAATACAAAAGGTTAACTCACCTCAAACTTCCCTGTGTACATAATAGCTTGACTCTCGTTGCGCTATGGACCCCCTCACCGGACGGAACGAACCTATTTAGTTTATGAAGCTGATCGAATATGGTAGTGGACGCTTGCCGATCGCGTCACGGAAAACACATTTCTCGTTTTGCTTTGGGGGTCTCTTTCGGCCACGGCCAGCAGCCGCATAACAACTGATATCCTTGGCCTGCACTAGCTCAGTTTATTTAGTACCTTAGTAGAAGAAGGAAAAGGGAACTTGCCAGCGAGATATGATGGTGCTTTGTCCCTGTAATGCGGTGTGACGGGGTGCATATACAAGCATATGGAGCTGAACTTAGGTCAATGAAATTAGACGGCTAGAAGGAGCTACTTGTTGGACACAATATTCAGTTGACCTGTCATATGCATATCGCCTCTGTCATCACAAATATGTCATGGCATACAAACTTTGGGATCCTAGCTGGCAATTTAAAGATGCTTTGAAATGTTTGCTTGATGTATACTTCGTGTTCACTCCCAACCAAATGGTCCATATTTGTGCTAGACATGAACTTTTGCATGCTTTGATCAGGCCAGACCGAATAGTGCTCTTGCATCCTTTTGGGTAAATGCCTAACCGTTCACTCTGTACAACGTGCTCAAAAAAAAACAATAAAAAATGAAGATGCACGTTGGGGACTTGGGGAGCGGTTTATGCTTACATTTGCGAAGAGAAAGCGGAGTGCATAAGACATTTAGTCTATTTTTGGTGAGCAATAGTAGAGCTAAGGGGAAGTTTTATGAGCCCTCAGGCCCTGTGTCTTCCTTAACAGCAATTTTCTACTCACCTTGATGATGAATAATTAAATACGCAAGCATACCAAAGATAATTGTTCAACGCACATTTTCTAACATAATTGCAAAGTCCATATATGACGCAACAAATTGCCCGACTTAAAACAGACATTTTAAATAAACAATGCGAGATCTCGCAGGCAGCGTTTTGTCGCCGAGCAGTCGAAAATCTATGAATGCTGTGAAGTAGGTAAATGAGACTGCAATGGCCACTTCCTGTTTATATTACGCTTTCAGCGGATCAGACGACCATCACAATCAAGTGTTTAAAATATGATGGTACCAGTAAGATAAAATTACTTAATTCAACTCTAAGTGGCTTTTATAGCAACGCCATATGATTAGCGGTTAGCGTGCGCTACTCAATGACGCAAGGGCTAAATCGATCGATTTAGGTAGACACTAGGATGGAATAGAAATAAAATGGGCTTTAACTTAGTGGAAACAAAACGAAAGTTCCATTACCGAATAACATATGTAAATATCAAAGTTCGGAGCTCAGAGATGATAATTTGGGAGGGAGGAGTGAATCATAGGAGCAGTTTCCGTGACCTGCTGATGTCCCATACACCTGACTGGCTCATTATTGTCAAACGGAGTAAGGCATAAGTCAACAAGTGGTGTCAGTGGCGTGCCGAATTAGACGGCCTTGTGCTCATCAATGTTTTTGCCCTATCGGCCTGTTAGCATATGTTTAGCTGACATGAGAGCTGAGAGCTCTCATGCAGGTGGCCGGCCGAACCTCCATGTAAGCTGTTCGGTTAGCGACTGCTCCGTCTGGAGAATTCGTAGCAGGGGAGTAATTGTCTATTTTTCACAAACTCCATTTTACTGGCTTGGTATTGAGTAAATAACAATAAAGGGGCTTAGGACTCGTTTAAATGTCAAGTTCATCGTTGGTAGACTAGACATTTGAATACCTTGCCTTAATTTTTAATCGCTCTCTCTCCAATCTGCCTAAAATGGCCGATTCTAGCAAGTCAAAGTTATAAATAGTTACTCCAATGCCTATTGCAAAATTTTAATTCGGGTCTGCTCCTCGAGTTGTCTTTTTGTGCTCGCATAACCTCTGCGATTTCCGTCCGGTTTCTGCAGCGTTGTTTCAGCTCTCATTTTAATTTGCTTACTGTGCAATTATAGAGGTCTTGGTGAGTTGCTGACTGAAGTCGATTGAGTATGCCTATAATGGCGAACTGCTACAATTACAACGCGTACCATGGTCTCTGGTTATGTACGATAAAACTACCAGTCGTCTTCCCATTAACATCGGTTTCTTTTAAAATGAAGCGAGACCCCAAAACACAAACAATTCAGTCTATGAATAAACCTAATATTCAACAGAAAATAACGTACCCTTCCTTTTAGCCTGGTTGCCTGGTAATGATTAAATATACAAGCTCGAGCCCTTGCTACAACAGCATGTCTACTGACTTGATTTGGGTAGGGTCGTTAATTTTGTCGTTTACGTTAATGGTCAATATTTGACTTTAGTTAAATTTAAAGATTTGGAGTTACATTTAGAGTAAGTCTCAGGATTCCTTTTGCCAGTTACATAATGCAGTACCCCATCTCTAATCAATTCTCCAATTAATGACGTCCGAATGCATATTTTTCGCCATCTAATGTGTCTCAAATTCGCATATTTAGATTGACCGGTCTGTCTGGCGTCTCGTTATTCTGTTGAAACTAAATGTGGCGGAATATGAGTCGTGCAGTGCATTTCCCTGAATCCGTTGGCTTTCGCGAATATTTGCCTTGCAGTAAATAGTGCTGTTAATTTAATTTAATATTAAAGGAGTCTCTGAGATCTCTGTCCTCAGAAGGCTTGCATACTTATACCTTTTTAGTACTAAACGCAAATCCAACAAAGCGGCATTTTAAAACCATTTTAAATAATCTTCAAAAGCAATTCGTTTTCGCTTCAGTGACCAAAGATGGTCTTATTTTTGTAAATTTTTCTCTGGTTTCGGAATTACAAGGACTTGGCCTGTGGTCGTCGGCAAAAGCTTCAGACAAACACGCTTGCCGGCCTCTATCAAAGGATGTCCGCAATTAGCTTGTTTGCCCTCACATATTCGAACTCGTCATGATAAGCCAGTCCTGGCCAGACGCGTTATTTTCAGGTGCAGACATCGTCTGTCACTGCAGACTTTTTTGTCAGTGTCGAACTACGCATTATTTGTGTTGGACTAAATTATATTAAGAAAACTGCAAAATATGACTTATTAACGCAGTCTTTTCCGGTCTGTTTGCATGCATTGTCTTAGAGCTTACTCAGTATCATAGTGCATGCATGCATATGCATATTATAGTAAAACAGATTTTTGTTCATCAATATTTTTATTATATTTCCAAACACAATTCGGACATGTTGTCCAGTCCAAACCACTGAGGAATATCCCCGCGGTTTTTAAGTGTTGAAAATAGCCCAACTATTCAGATTATTAAATGCTTAGAAGGCATATCCATATGAAACTTGTATTCGCAAAAATGTAATTCTGATACATAAGGAGATATCGATATGCGTAAAGATTCCAGGTCCAGACATTGTATCGCGTCCGTCATCTCCCGAAGAAGACAAAGAGGAAGAGAGGGCGAATTCATGGACCATATTGTATTCGAACTGACGTTTCGGAAACTTCCTCGTTTCCATCATCAGAGTAGCGTAATTGTTGCACTTGTCGGTCCTGAGTTGTTCAGTCTTGCCGCTTGCCTCGTATTATAGCCGTGCTGGACGCACGAACTTTGACCTGCCTGTTTGCCGCTGACTGGCTTAGACCTCCCAGGGGCTGACCGCTGACAGGCCTGTGTGGCCTTTGTTCCCTTTGGTGTCGGCGTAATTGTGGCCAAATCAACGTGCCGCTTCGCCTCTCCCACGTCAGCCGGTGGACTGATCGGTCGTTGCTGTTCAGGTGAGCAGCATTCAGCTTCGCGGGCGCATCGGTGAGACAGTGTTCGGCTTTGGTCACATGACCTCTGACCCCCAATTCCGCTCTTTTCCGTAAGCGTTGACTCTCGGTCCCGCGTGCTCGTTTGCCTTACTGGTCGTGTCCGGACTGATCCGAGCCTTGTACGCAGCGCCTGGTAGGCGGGATGTAGATCTATAGCTCGGTTGAGTGCACCAGCCGAGGACTAACTTTCGAGCACCAGTCTGGCCATCTACTCATTGGCTCTGCCAATTACCCTCGCTTTCTCAAAGGCAAAATCGTGGTTCAGACTTCAAGAAGAAAATGATCAGGGTACTGATACGAGATTGCCACGCCCGCATCCACAAGTACCGCCAGATAATTGAACATCATTCGTTAACTTGCCAGTCGATCTTTACGGCACACGAGCTGGGGGTCCTCAAAGCATCAATTCTCGACAGCGCACGCCGTCACCGCAAGTTGCGTGCTGACCAGTTGTCCGGAAAATTTGAGAAAATAAGTCCGCCAAAGCAGCCGTCTACTGACGGTGCCTTCGTTCACAACTTATCCTCTCATCGTTTCACTCAGCAACAACTAGCCATTCTATCCTATGACGCGAAGTTCAACACAAGTTATGCTCGACCAGAAGACTTTATTGCATCCTTTGCATCGGCGATCCAGAAGTGTGAGGCAGGCGAGGAGTGCAAAAACGCCATGCGACAACAAGTGTCGACCTTACTCCTCCAACACAAACGCCAGATGACGATTTTTAAAGCAGAAGATCGAGAACTTCTGAAGATACGAAAAATGAAGGATATCGTCACCCTGCCCGCCGACAAGGGGCGCTCGACTGTCGTCATGGATAAGGCTGAGTACTGCACAAAACTAGGCAACCTCTTAATGGACAAGGAAGCTTATGTGCCATCGACCGTCAGCGAGTTTAAAAAGCTCGTAAACTGCATAAACAATACGATCGGCAAGCTGAGGAAGGCGGGAGCTCCTACGAGAAGGGAGGCGTTGGCCGCAAAAGCCAGTGATACCACGATGGCGCGCTTTTACGGCCTACCAAAGGTCCACAAGCAGGAGGTGCCGCTATGCCCCATCGTCTCCTTACGTGGTACTCCAAAGTTTGGGCTGTCAAAGTGGCTGTACCAATGACTTTGTTTCCTTACCAAGGATTCGGAGTGAACAGTGAAGTTGGCTGAAGAGTTCTTGACGCGCATCAAACATCTCGATGTGAAGGCAGATGAGGTGATGGTGTCATTTGACGTGATCTCATTATTCACCTCCGTCCCACCTGCGCTGGCTATTGACACTATTGATGACTTTCTCCGGGAAAAGTATGATGAAACCGACCAACAGCTCAAACGAGCACACATCATCGAGCTCCTAGAACTGTGTCTTAAGACCTTCTTTAAATTTAACGGCCAAGTCTACGAGCAAAAGAAGGGGACACCGATGGGCTCGCCTCTGTCTGCACTAATTGCCGAAGCAGTTTTGCAGAGACTCGAGCAGCAGGTCTTCAGCTCGTACCCCCCGAAGTTCTGGGCCAGATACCTCGACGACACGTTCGTTGTAATCAAGATGAGCGAGGTGAAGGCTTTCAAGGCATTGTTGAACTCCAACTTTCCCGATATTCAATTTACTATGGAAGAGGAAGTCAACAATCAGTTGCCCTTCCTGGACGTACAAGTTACGAGATTGACAGACGGGAAGATAAAGTTAACGGTTTACCGTAAGGCAACAAATACCAGGCGCATCCTCCACTTCCGAAGCAATCACCCTGTTGGTCATAAACGCCGTTGGGTCAGAACTCTCTTTCAACGTGTGCAAACACACTGTAGCGACGACAGTGGAAGGAAGTAGGAGATGAATCACTTACAGGCTCTTTTTAAAGCCAATGGCTACCCGAAGTCCTTCATACGCAATTGCCACAAAAGGCCACATTTTGAGCGGTCGAGTAGAGAAAAGCCCAAGTTCTGGCTCGCAATACCCTATGTGAAGAACGTATCAGAGGCAACGGCAAGAATCCTGAAACCTTTTCGTATTGGCGTGGCTCATAAACCAGAATGCACCATCAGGCAGCAAATCATGAAGCCTAAATACCCGCTACCAACAGCAGAACAGTCGGCGGTGTTCTAGAGCATACCATGCCTAAATTACAATGCGAGGTATGTTGGTGAAAAGGGAAACCGCCCCGGTACAAGATTGCACGAACACCAACTTGCAATCAACTGCAAGGACAAGCTGTCTTTGGTGTATGGTTACATAAGAGAACTGAACCACGATTTTGCCTTTGAGAAAGCGAGGGTAATTGGCAGAGCCAATGAGTAGATGGCCAGACTGGTGCTCGAAAGTTGGTCCTCGGCTGGTGCACTCAACCGAGCTATAGATCTACATCCCGCCTACCAGGCGCTGCGTACAAGGCTCGGATCAGTCCGGACACGACCAGTAAGGCAAACGAGCACGCGGGACCGAGAGTCAACGCTTACGGAAAAGAGCGGAATTGGGGGTCAGAGGTCATGTGACCAAAGCCGAACACTGTCTCACCGATGCGCCCGCGAAGCTGAATGCTGCTCACCTGAACAGCAACGACCGATCAGTCCACCGGCTGACGTGGGAGAGGCGAAGCGGCACGTTGATTTGGCCACAATTACGCCGACACCAAAGGGAACAAAGGCCACACAGGCCTGTCAGCGGTCAGCCCCTGGGAGGTCTAAGCCAGTCAGCGGCAAACAGGCAGGTCAAAGTTCGTGCGTCCAGCACGGCTATAATACGAGGCAAGCGGCAAGACTGAACAACTCAGGACCGACAAGTGCAACAATTACGCTACTCTGATGATGGAAACGAGGAAGTTTCCGAAACGTCAGTTCGAATACAATATGGTCCATGAATTCGCCCTCTCTTCTTCTTCGTCTTCTTCGGGAGATGATGAACGCGATATGGAGATATGAATCCAGTAAAAGTATAATGTTTGATCATAGGAGGGGAAGGATATTTGCTTGACTTCTCGACGTACCTTGTTATACTTATTGCAGACATGTGGACATGTATGCATGAACTATTTAGAATATTCGTACTATCTAACAATCCTGTCTAAAGTACCGTGTCACATTCCTTCCAACCAGAATCTCTCATAACCTGTCAGTAAGCGATTTCATGAAGTGTTTACGAACTTCTGACATGCGTTTTAATTAAAAAATCTATTGACATTTTGTTAGAAGTTTAATAATTGCGCGGTATACTTAAATGTTTTCTTTAGAGCATGGGCGTTCCTCTTGATTTTCATCTCCCTTAAATAGTCTAAATATATTTCTGCAAAAGACAAACAAAATATTTTTTGAGCCCCTTTTGCAGAATATTAAAATTTCTTTATTAGTAAGACAAATAAAGCAGAATAACATTTAACACAAAGCAATCAATGTTGAAACATGTCTTAGAAGTAGGACAGTTTTGGTCATATTTGTAGGCCATGCTAAGCGCGGAACCTAGCAATTAAGGGGAAGAATCCTAAAATACAGACTCGCATTGACCGTGCGTTTGCATAACGAAGACATCATTTTTATTTACTGCGCTCTCCGACAGTATTCACTATTAACTAATTTCGCGGATGATTGCAAACGTCTTTTGATTTTCCATGGGGAATTGCAAATGAAAATTAAAAAGCATTTGCTTATCCACGTTCCTCTCAGGCGGCTTTTGGGAACTCTCCCTTATTTTATTCCCATGGCATAAAATAAATACTAGAATATTTTCTAGAATGATCTAGTTTAGGAACAAAAACGATAACGCACACCTGAAGACTACTAAATGACTTAGAAGCATTTATTTGACTGAGCGTTTATTTGCGAATCCCATCTGGCCCGGAAAATATTTTTACTTAGGTTTTCCGCACACTCGTCGACTGTGCTAGCGAAGGCGTAGTTAAACAAAGGCGAGAAACAACTGAGTTTTATTCGTATTTTATGGCAGGTTTTCCGCCCCAAAACGTTCCGATTTCATCAGATCTTCAAAACTGTCAGCATTCTTATGAAGTCTGTTCTGTAAGAATTCCTGAAGAGCTGTTTGCAGAGCGCCCACTGCAAAACGCCAGTGCGTTGTTTTGTCGTTGGTGTTAAAACAATCATTTTATGCACTTTCAGCACTTTTCTGCCACGACATTTGTTTTGAGGCCCCTGAGCTTGCTTTCCTACGATCCATGCTTCTATTTCCATTTCGCGTCCAATGAAAAGTACATATAAGGACATCTATGTCTCCTTTCCTGGAGCGCGGAGACAATTCATTTAACTATTTATCATACTAGCGCTTCTCGGGTACTGAATATCTGTTGGATCTTACAATTAAATAGAAATCCCTTCGGAGATTTTAGCTGAAATGGGATACAAATAAGGGTCGCAAATGCTAATATGAGGACTATTTTGACCAGTCGTGCAATAAAAGACGGTAGCTTTTGCCTGTCTTGTGATTGGGCAAGTCGGTTTATAGGAATTCCAATCATGAATGCATGTGAGTTCAGGCAGGTGATGCATGGTTTGTCCGATTCTTCTCAACTACTTCAAACGGCTTGAGGCAAGTCACAAAATGGGACTCGTTATCACAAAATGGCTCATTATGGACGTCAGTTGTGGGGATATCTGAAGTGTAGATCCTTCTGCAGCATAAATAACAAGTCCGCCGATTTGTTTGCAAGGTAAGAGACTCTCATTGGACGATTGCTTAAATCTTTTTTTAAGCACTATTTTGCTTCCAATAAGTCCTGAAACTCAAGAAATAGCTGCAAATACAGCCAAAGTTTCAATGCCCCAAAGCTCGATGGCCACCAGATGTCTGACGATGTGTCAGGGCATTTGAATTAAATCTAGTGATATTATGATTGCGCAAAATTAACAGCGGTCTCATCTTTGCGGCCACCAGGAAAACTAGGTGTGGTCTCATGTTTAGTGGCCGCCAAAACTAAGCTGTCTGTTTGCCCGTACCGCACACGGTTTGCCCTAACACAATGAGACATGACTTCACACAAACAGGAAAGGGGTCTCTCAACTCCAAACTGAGTGAGAATGCCGTAGAGGTCAAGTTAGACGTTGGCCGTCCATCCTTAGACGAGGTTTTACCTATCCAGTCAATTGGCACCTTTTCCAGTCAAGACTTTGAGTTAACTTGGATAGCTTCAAACTGACTACGATTGATTGCATAGAGGACTGTTTTGTAAATAAATTGTGATTGCTACAAAATAAGCTCTCGTTGTGTGTACAGTGTAGAATGGACGGTAAAATTTGAACTATTTGCGATTAGTTTTCAATAATCAACCATGACAAATACCCATTTTGTTTTTCGCTATAATTGGCATCCTAAGACATTACGACGTTTACAAGTGGCGGAACTAAACAAAGCGTCGTTGTCTGATCAAATTTACATATGACTTTCAAAGATTATGAGTTTGTTCGGTTCTATAAACTGACTTAAATTTTGCCGCAAGCACAACATTCCAACGCTCTAAGCACCTGAGCTCAGGTGGTTAGAGCGTTGGCTGCGCTAAAGCCTTCCCCTTACTGCGTGGGCCCGAATCCCACCGAGGCGCCGAGTTTTCCACAGTTGGGTCAATATGAAGAAATCTTGGTTTCAAACCCGAACTATTTTTGATAAAAATCTATTAGTCCAAAGTTCTTCTTATTTAGAGAACCTTATCCGATCAATTTATGTAATATATTCGAACGTAAAATTGCATGATAGAATGTCCATAAATAATAACGTACACTTTACATGCAATTACCAGAAAATCGGGTCCGAACCTCAAGTCAAACTAACTTTTCATTTGTATATCGTCATCTGACAACGTCTGATAAGCTAAAAATGGTCATTTTAGTCTCCCTGGACTTTGCAGCTAATCTTGTTTAGCCTATACCTATATATAGAGGACATGGAGTTAAGTCTGTGACACCTGACTTTTATGGGTCAAACTTAAAATTTTAATGAATACTTAAGTCGTGGAAAATCAACTGCTGTACAATAACCACGTAATACCAATTCTTAAAAAGAATATTAGTGCCAATTATATGAAATATATATGCTTAATATAGTTTAGGGGACTGCAGACTAAAATACTAAAAGCCCGCACACATTTTACCCTGCGTGAAAATGGGCATTTCTTGATTATTCCA